ACGTTTCAGCCACGTTCAAAAAGCAATGTCCAGTGAGTGGCACTAAAAGTGTGTTCAGTTTTATATTAAACAGATTAACATAAATTTGGCAACGTTTTTTTTTTATGTATTTTGTATGTATGGTATAAAAGGTTGCTCTATCACAAAACATGTACCCCATATACTAAACCTGACCCTAAACCTAATCAATAGTGTTAACAAAAACAAACGTGACATAAAAATGCACTTGTGTTTCGCGGGACTTACACCCGAGTGCTCTGCATCATAGGCGTAATACTTTACCAGGTGAGCTACTAAGCAACTTTACTTCATCAGAGAAATCATACATATGGAGCTGAATATGTGACGCAAACAACAAACAGCATTTTGAGCTCATAATCTAATATTGTGCTATTGTTTTAATTGATAATCTGCTCCTGTAATCATAATTTGTGCAAAAAATAATCAATCTTTTTTGGCATCTGCCTCTAGTGTCCATTTCAGCTGGAAACTGCTGTAAATTCTATGTTTAAGTACATTTTCTTTAGTTTTTTTAGCACCACGATTTTTTCAATGATTCTACGTAGCAATATTGATATGATCTGACTATAGCAATATTAGAATATGGGAAAATGAAAATGTGCGTGGCTCTCAGGACATCAGCACTTGCTGTACTGCAGTTTATAGATGTGAGAAAACACACCACAGGTGAAGCAGCACAGCGTCACAAGGTCGGCGAGGGGACAACCACAGGAAAGCTCTCATAAACTCAAACACAGAGGGCGCCAGTATTGCCCTCTCTCTCTTGCTCGCTCGCCTCTGTCCTCGACTTACCCTTACCCCCCTCCAACCCCAGCCTGGCGACACGTGCTGATTCCACAATAAGATTTGTCTGTTTTATTTTGAGGTCCTGACCCCGCCGCCTTTGGGAATGTGAACTTTTCTTCTTTATTGGTGGCCATCAGGCTAAGAACAGCTGTGTGTGTGTGCATGTGTGTTAAAAAAAGGGAATGAGAAAGGGAAGTGTGCAAAATGCCTCCATTTGGCTAGACGTGGATTGCTCCCATTAAGCAACAAAACAAGTCCAGATTTCACGCTTGCTGTGGGACGTGTAGTTTCCTACAATTTGCCACCTCAGCACCTTCTCAGCATCAAAAAAAGCCAGGTTTATAATCATTTGGATGGATGGAATGAACCCCAGAAATAATGAATGAATCAGGAATGAATCAGTGATGCATGGATCCTTCACCTGTGCTCTGTCCTGCAGGGATATTAGTTCGGTTGCTGCTGGGCTGCTTGTATGGAGAATGGGCGAGGCGGAGCAGCGGTTCGCAGGAGCTGAGGAGGTACAACATCTCCTGTCACCAGGCTGGATTTATGATGCTTCCTCTCACTTTGAAGGGCAGCTCTGTTTGCTTAGTCCCCGCTAACTACTTTGCATGGCCTGCCCCAGTGCATGTTCATTCACAATAACGCTCCAGTGCCGCCAACCCCCAAGAATAAGGCTGACGTGCTTGAAAAAAACCCCATCACTGGTCCTTTGTTTGTTTGTTTTCCTCCATAATTTTAAATGCTTTTAAGGCAAATCCTCACAAAATCTCTTAGGAATAAGTTCAGGTCATATTTCGTGCCAAAAACAAAATAAACAATATGAAATTATATTTTGCAAGTTTTATTTTCAATTATTTTCATGACAATTAAGAACATTTACTCACTACTGAAATGTGAAACATATCATTACATTAATCTAATTTGAACAAAAAGATACATATTATTATTATTGTTACATATTTGACTTTTAAATTGTAATTTTTTTATTTTAACTTATAAATCACGGTAGAACTTGTTTGTCAACTTTTTGTGTTGATTCTAATAAAATCATTGTGGTTTAAAATTTACTGTAATAAAAAAAAAAGTAAACATGCATATTGCGCAGTAATGACAACTTTGGTCATTTTTGGCTTAACTGTTATGGAAATGTCACAATGCAAAAAAATTATAATAATAATCAAGCACATGCCCTTACTCGAATTTGTATAATTGAAAAGTGTTAAAAATATTTAAATATTATTTAAATGGTAAAATATTTATACATCAGGGTAGTATTTGTTAAATTGCCTTTCATTTATTCTGATTTCAACAAAAAAAAATAAAAATCACTAAATTACAGTATAACCATTAAGAATACTGAGAATTACAAACAAACCTAAAAGTAACATGCCCAGATGCATTGTGGTAATGACAATTTTGGGGGAAATGTGCGGAATTGGGGGAAAAAAACCTATATGATCCAAAAATAAACTTTATTTTTTTCTGAAAAACATAATTTCACAGAAACACACACACACACATGCATATAAATATGAATATTACCTGGACAAGATTACATGAGATTCACATCTTAAAGGCTAATTTTCTTGTGGCAATTCAGTGACACTAATATCGCAACAATAAAAGGGTTTGTATGAAAATCTGAACTCACAACACATCCTGACTGTTCACAGCACTGACATATTCACCCCAAACAAACAAGTGCAAAACCAAGGGGTGACAATAACAGTAAATCTGATAATGCGCAGCCAACTAATGGAGGTTCAAAGCGAGGGAATGGTAGAACGGAAGGATAGATCGTGCCATCTGCACCTCTCCACGGCACAACACACTCTGTCTACAGCAGCAACAGGAAATCTCGGCAAAGTTCAGCCATGGGTCAGTGTAGACATCGCTCCTCCCCTCTGCCCTCCCTCCACCACACACACACACACACACATCCACCTGAGCGGCCTTTGAGGGGTCATGAGGATTAGCGATGGGGCGGGGGCAGGGGAAAAGGGACACAACTACCATATAATTCAAACAATTAAGGAAACATTTAGTTAATGGTGCAGTGTGCGACTGACCTTTTCCTGAACCCATTTATGAACTTCTGTTTTGGTGTGCGTGGATGAGTGTCACACGGATGTCCAATAGCCCGCAGAGAGCATATAGCTATAAACTTTTGCCACATATTGTGAGTCTTACGTAACCGTGAGGCATACATCTTCCACCTCAGATAATGAGTTGATGGGAGGTAAACTAAACTGTTGTCAGTTTGCTGAACACTCCTTGCTGATATACCAGCAAAGCTTCCAACAATCACTAATGTCTCTCTTGTGTGATATTAATAATCGTGGAGTGGTTTAGTGTGCAATTGGCATTCCAGTGCAGATCTGCTGGGGGTTATGATTATGACGCTTCCTTAGATGATGCTGACTCTTATCTCTATAGAGCAGCAGTGTATGATTCCATAGCAGAACATGAAGAGCCAGCAGGGGCTGCCTGACCTCTCTCTAATCATGAAGTCAAATCCTGGTCAAACCCTGAGGGACAGCCGTGACGGAGGAGGGCGCCTGCCTCCATACATGTGTTTGGAGCCGTGATTAAGCATTCCAAGAATGTGGTATGAAAATAAGCAGCTTTGATTGAAAACAAACAAACAAACAAGAGATTATTCACGTAATCTGACTCAGGCTCAGCCAGGACGTTCGGTCACATTGAATACATTCATGTGTCTTTAATGGTGTTTGCTGTCAAGAAGGTTTGAATATAAGTGCTGCAGGGATGACATGTTGTTGTAGGCCAAAACCTGGAAACGAGTTTCCATCATCTGGGTTTGGTTAAATGCCTAAAATAAGGTCTGTTTTTAACACAAGCTTAAGATATTTTCACATTTTAACAACATAAAGTGCATCAGTTACACACCCTGCAATTTTCAAAGATTTTACCCGTTCTGAAAAAAGGCGGTCGCTAACAAGTAGCTAAATGGGACTATGGAGGTTTTCTGGGACATTTAAATGGCATCAACAGGTAAACTCATCTACTCATAGTCCACTTTTACAGCCTCATTGTGCTCATAATCACTCTTTGGAAACTATTTGAACTCAAACTTTCAGGGAAAATGTTTTTAAATAAAGACTGAAAGAGTTGTTGGAAGCGTAATGATGGTGACTTTTAAGTCACGTGACAGTGGTGTAGTCTGCAAACAGTTTAGGCTTCAAAATTTATAAAAGCACAAACTTCATTACGGATTACCATGAACAAAAGCTGCTAATCAGTTCAAATCTCCCTCATCATCAAAAATCCATCTTCATACGGCATATTTGAACATTCAAAAACATCAATGAGATTTGAAAACAGTAAAAGCTTCAGAAACTCACCTTTTGTGTTCCACAGAGGAAAGCAAGTCATACTTACATCAAAACGACTTCAGGTGAGTAAATGATGACCGAACTTACATTGTTGAGGTCTAAGGAGTCGTCTGAGGCCCATTAAAGCCATACTGTTATAGCGGACATCTAATATAGTTAATAAAAGCACTCTCAAAAAAAAAAAACTGTCGTTATAATCACTGAAGCTGTCTACACTGCGAAATGAATCTCTTACTTACATTGTACGTACATCTGCGTTTTGCTGTTTATGATGAGGATTCGCAAGAGTCCTGATAAGAGAAACTTTTGGTCTGATGCTGGCAAATCACTTACAAGTTTTTAAGAATCTGAATTTTTTACCTAACCTACAATTGTAAAAACTACTCAAAACATCATCTAAAAGGCAGCAAAAGTATGAAAACAGAAATATAAAACCCCCATCCAAAGAGGACATGTCTAAATACAAATACTGGAGCTAAAGACATCTGAATGTCAAATTCAGACCAATAAAGCCATTCGTTACAAATACACCCATCAGTCAAACCCCATACGTTTCATATACTACTCTAACTCACGATACTCACTGTATGTACACACTTGCTGGTAGAAGTAATAAATAGATCCGCTGGTATATCCATGAAAAAGAAAAAAATAAAGTCCACAACCCTTATGGAAAGAGAAGAATATGAACACACTGGTTGTCTGATAAAGTGGACACATCTTCCCACACATCAGTAGTCAGCCATGGCATTGAGTGCTGGTCTTTTCTTCCCTTTGATCTTCAGAGATCCATAGCGTGCCTGTGACCAATGAATGACAAGCATCAGAGGACATGTCTAAATACAAATACTGGAGCTAAAGACATCTGAATGTCAAATTCAGACCAATAAAGCCATCCGTTACAAATACACCCATCAGTCAAACCCCATACGTTTCATATACTACTCTAACTCACGATACTCACTGTATGTACACACTTGCTGGTAGAAGTAATAAATAGATCCGCTGGTATATCCATGAAAAAGAAAAAAATAAAGTCCACAACCCTTATGGAAAGAGAAGAATATGAACACATTGGTTGTCTGATAAAGTGGACACATCTTCCCACACATCAGTAGTCAGCCATGGCATTGAGTGCTGGTCTTTTCTTCCCTTTGATCTTCAGAGATCCATAGCGTGCCTGTGACCAATGAATGACAAGCATTGGTTACCATGATTAAACTCACGCACAGGACAAATCAAGAGGGAAGCCATAATCAATAAGGTAATATGATTTGATTAAGGACTGCAACAACTAAATTATAAAAATGGCACAGCAAACTTCCATCAGTGATGTCACTTTACAGTAGTGAAACAATGCTTCTGAATAATGTGGGTTCCTACAATGCATATCTTACGGTTATATTCCAAGTCCAACCTGTAAATGTTAGAAATTCAAATTCATGTGAATATTTCAATTTTAAGAGTAAGCGAGCTGCTACTAAACTTCAAATGCTTCTTTCAGCAAAATGCAACAGAAAAAAAGGTGTAATAACACCTTTCAAAAAAATTTCAATTGATCAAATAGTCAAGATTCCACGTTTAAATTAATAGTTCACCCAAAAATTTAAATTTTAGAGATGCACCGAAATGAAAATTCTTGGCCGAAGCTGAAACCGAACATGGTTTTTCAAGGTTTTTTCCCTCATGTATTTTACCAGTTTTTTGCACCATTGCATAAATGAAATAGCCAAAAATTTGCTTTTTACGTTTTTTTCTTGCTTTTCAAAGAATAAAAAAAAAAAAACAATTTAGGAATATTTAACACTGAAATTTTTTTTTACATTCTAGCAGACATTATACCAACAAAGCACAATTTAACTTAAAATTAGTAAGTTAGTAAAATAATATTTTTTGGCCATCAGACCTCCTTCTTGAATCAGGCATGTATTTTTTACTGTGTGAATGTTATAATAAATGTATTAACACAGTTGTTGTAATTACTATTATTGTCTTACTTTTTATTTTATTTTAAACAACAACAGTAAAATTACAATACTAACATTTATAAATGTTGGAGTTCTTGCTTTTTCTCAACTTTTATTTAGGCGGAAAGCGCAGGAAGACCTCAATGCTTCTTTTTGTTGACAACAGCGGATTTATAAATGAGTCTCATTACGAATACGTCGCACGTATCGCATTGTCACATGCCTTGTAAAAATTCATAAAAATGTGACTGAGCAACTGACGAGTAACACTAGGTGCGTTTCCATTACAGATTTGCGCAAAACTTTGGCGATATTTTATAAATGTCGATAAAAAAGTATTGCGAAATGACGGCGTTTTCATTAACCAATGTTCTGCAACTAAAACGTAACCTTTTGCCTCTCGCGATAATTCATGGCAACGGATTTTGGTGGGATTTTAACGGATTTTGGCTATATTTATTCAAAAGAGGCGTATGGGTTTATCTTTACAGAAGTAGCAGAGAGCAGCTGCGTGGCACGGCTGGAATAAACACAAGCATTGACTAACGTTAAGAGTGGCCCCAATCAGCTTCTGTGGCCGTATCACAGCCACACTGCACCGCAGAAGTGTGCAGTGTAAATTGTCTAAGCATTAATAGTAGGGAAAGCCCCTTATACTGGAGAGCGGCCACTTATGAAGTGTTTCTTGGAGGTTCTAGTACATTGAAGAATGATCATATGACTTTTTACATATGCCATGTGACCTGTAAATGCAAAAAAAAAAACGTTTCCATTGCAGTTTTGCAAATTATTCCTTTTTCGCATTGCCTGAAAAACCACCTCATGTGAGCGTAAAAACTTTTTTGCGATATATGGGCGTTTTTGCAAAATTGAAGCGTTTCCATTAGGCGTATTTTCAATTCGCGCAATTTGAAGGGTAATGGAAACTCGCCTACTGTTTCAGCGCAGATTTTCCTGGCGCTTTGGACTTCGAACCCTGGTTAACAAGCAGATCCGCCGCGAGTTTGTGCAGCGCTGTCAGAATAGGCTACATGCAATTCGTGCATGTATTAGAAAACATAACGTTCTGCAGTTTATTTACTAATTGTTTAAGGCCATTTCGCGATTTCAGTCATCATACAGTAACCAGCAACAATCACCCCTTCCTCTTCTCATCGAAGAAATGCGATCCAGTACTAAACAGTCTCTCGCTGTTGGTGCTTGTAATGATTTTTGCCTCTTTCTCGGACAGTTTTAAATGTTTCCACACTGCTGACATGTTTATTGCATTATAAAGAGTGCGTGCCGCTTACTCTACGCTGGTTGCTATTTGATCGCATCACATCATTGTTTGGTACAATTTACTCTGTCTTTTTGCTATTTTCGCCATAATAATTTCAGTTGCCAAACATTCGGTGCATCCCCAGAAAATTTGCTGATAATTTACCAACACTCAGGCCATCCAAGTTGTAGAAGAGTTTGTTTCTTCATCAGAACAGATTTAGAGGAATTTAGCGTTACATCACTTGCTCACCAATGGATTCTCTGCAGTGAATGGTTGCCGTCAGAATGAGAGTCCAAACAGCTGATAAAAACATCACAATAATCACAAGTAATCCACATGACTACAGTCCATTAATTAATATCTTGTGAAGCGAAAAGCTGCGTGTCTGCAAGAAACAAAACCATCATTAAGGCATTTTAACTTTAAACTTTCGCTTCTGCCCAAAATAAAGGCCATAGTCCATAATAATGCTTCCTCCAATTATGGAAGAGGAAGAGATTTTAGCCGGAAGCAATGGTTTGAACTTAAAAACATATTAATGATGTATTTGTTTTTTACAACCATGCAGCTTTTTGCTTCACAAGACGTTAATTGGTGGACTGGAATTGTTTGGATTACTTGCAGATTATTGTGATGTTTTTATCAGCTGTTTGGACTCTCATTCTGATGGCACCCATTCACTGCAGAGAATTCATTGGTGAGCGATGAAATGGTAAATTTCTCCAAATCTGTTCTGATGAATTAAACTCATCTACATCTTGGATGGCTCTAGGGTGAGTAAATTTTCAGCAAATTTTGGGGTGAGCTATTCCTTTAAATTAAGGTTTTAGATGAACTGAAATGCTACATGTAGCACAATATTTTGTGATTATAATGACATTTGCATTTATTATAATGACAGTTATTGTCCTTTACATTTACAGAAAAAGTATAGTAATGAGTTACGATGTTCAAAGAAGAAAATATGTTTGTATTTTATATCTATTTTCTATTTATAAAACAATGATTAAATCATGCTGCATTCAAACATTTGCATTTTTAATAAAATATACCAAATAAAAAGTGGCTTTTTGCAAGTGTAATGTAATGTTTATTTAGTTACTGAGTCTTGGAAGAACAAAATAGGGATGTGCTATCAGGTTTTGTTGGACTTACATCTCTGCGCAGTTTTGAGCGGGTGATTCTGACGCTCTGAGATCGTCTGAGCCCATGATGAGACACAGCTTCATCTTCAGAGTACACAGGTTTACCCTCGTCATCACTCCTGTCATCGTCATCACCATGATAATACTCTACAAAACAAACAAGCTGAGAGTTAAGAAAACAAGATGAACACAGATCAGCGCTTGATCAGATAGAACAGCAGGCATGATCGAGATCACTGCTCCTCAAACAGCTTTTGTCTTAAGGCCCAGATTTGACATTGGTGACCCAGTAACAAAGAATCAAAATGGTCTACTGTACAAAAAATACATCCTACACTGACAAAGAGCAGAAAACATTTACAGATTTATTCGATAATATTAAAATACATTAATAATAAAGTATAGGCCCAATAATATGGGGAAAAAATTAAGATGATATTATGCTAGATAGGAAACTTTTGTAAGCACGTGACCTTTTTTGACAAACAGGTGACACATGAATCTGTGCCAAAATACAGCAGAATTTGACTGGATGTCAACAAGATTATTTGTTTATTATGTGTGTATTATTCTGCATTTAACATTGTTTTTACTGTCCATTGCGCTATCTGAACAGACTCATTTTTGGGTCGCAACTGACCAGTTCCATTTTTTTGTGAAGGGTGGGAATGTGATTTCAGCCGTGGAGAAAGGACAAGCGGGGGAAGAGAGAAAGAGAGAGAGCAGCTGCCAGGTTCAGGCTGCTCCTGGCACCATCACCTCTGGGCTCCCCGGGTAGAGCTGGGAGCTAGGCAGAGCCAACCTGTGCCAGGACGCCTAACAGCAATCCAGCCAGAGCCGATTCACTGCACACTCCATCATCCAAAGGACAGGCTATAACAAGACCATACTGCACTGCACAGAACTGAAGGTTTAATTTAGCATGTCAGTTCTCCATTCCGCCATAAGGGGGCAGAAGAAATACATAAACCGATGATGCTGAAAAGCCTTCCTTTGTTTGTTTCCACACCCACCACTGTTTTCAATTATTGAAATATAACAACTTTCTTGGGATTTAGAAAAGTATGCGATTAATTTTCCAGAACTATTCTAGTTCTGTTAAGACCTTGTGCAAGCTAAGCAGAAAGAGGACAAATATAAAGATGTAGCTGACAGGTCTTTGTCCAAACACATAACCAGGAGAGATATAACTTCTCACACACACACACACACACACACACACACACACACACACACACATATATATATATATAAAAGCCCTTTATACTCTTAATTAAACATATCGTGTATTTGCCTTGCTACAATGATTGTTTGGTTCAAATTATGGTTTTAAGTAGTTTCCTATATTAGAGTAAAATAGAGTAATTTAGGTAATGCTACATTGCCTATAAAAGAGTAGAAATGTATTAAAATAATGAAGGCATGTTTTCTAACCTGTTTCTCACTAAAGTACCAAATGCAATCATTATTATTAATAAAAACCAATACGACAAAATATAACTAACAGAAATGTTTACCTACATATATTTGAGAAAAAAAAGCACACAACTTCAATCAAGATTTTTGCAATGATGCAAACAAATCTGTTATTCAAAGTTTTTAATTGCATCATTAAATGGACAGTTTAAACTATTACTTGGAATTT